CCTGTGGCTCATGTGCCTGTGGCTCATGTGCCTGTGGCTCATGTGCCTGTGGCTCATGTGCCTGTGGCTCATGTGCCTGTGGCTCATGTGCCTGTGGCTCATGTGCCTGTGGCTCATGTGCCTGTGGCTCATGTGCCTGTGGCTCATGTGCCTGTGGCTCATGTGCCTGTGGCTCATGTGCCTGTGGCTCATGTGCCTGTGGCTCATGTGCCTGTGGCTCATGTGCCTGTGGCTCATGTGCTCATGTGCCTGTGGCTCATGTGCCTGTGGCTCATGTGCCTGTGGCTCATGTGCCTGTGGCTCATGTGCCTGTGGCTCATGTGCCTGTGGCTCATGTGCCTGTGGCTCATGTGCCTGTGGCTCATGTGCCTGTGGCTCATGTGCCTGTGGCTCATGTGCCTGTGGCTCATGTGCCTGTGGCTCATGTGCCTGTGGCTCATGTGCCTGTGGCTCATGTGCCTGTGGCTCATGTGCCTGTGGCTCATGTGCCTGTGGCTCATGTGCCTGTGGCTCATGTGCCTGTGGCTCATGTGCCTGTCTACCCGCACAAACAGTTGGTGCATCCATCGGTCATCCTTCAGTTCTTTCTTTTAGAATTGATTTTTTAGTTTTTTAAAAGTTTTTGTTGTTCTTCCCCCACCCCAGCCTCTTTGATTAGCGCAGTTGGCTACATACGGTGCTAAAGAAGTTCAACATATACACTGCCCGTAGACTCAACTCTGCACGTAGACTCAACTCTGCACGTAGACTCAACTCTGCACGTAGACTCAACTCTGCACGTAGACTCCACGCTGCCCGTAGACTCCACGCTCCACGTAGACTCCACGCCGCACGTAGACTCCACGCTGCCCGTAGACTCAACTCAGCATGTAGACTCCCCGCCGCCCGTAGACTCCACGCTGCCCGTAGACTCCACACTCCACGTAGACTCCACACCGCACGTAGACTCCACGCTGCCTGTAGACTCCACACTCCTCCAGACTGCCCGTAGACTCAACTCTGTACGTAGACTCCACGCCGCTCGTAGACTCCACGTAGACTCCACGCTGCCCGTAGACTCCACGCCGCTCATAGACTCCACGCCGCACGTAGACTCCCCGCCGCCCGTAGACTCCACGCCGCCCGTAGACTCCCCGCCGCCCGTAGACTCCACGCCGCCCGTAGACTCCACGTAGACTCCACACCGCACGTAGACTCCACGCCGCCCGTAGACTCCACGTAGACTCCACGCCGCACGTAGACTCCACACCTCTCCGCTTGCCAGCCGCGAGCCTTCCTCGCACGTCACGCAGTCGACCCGCGGTGCACCGAGCCTGGCACTTCCGTTAACCCGGGGGTGGGCAAACCTGCGGCTCCAGACGCCACGGGCCACCGCCCTTTGGCTGCCCCCTTTTTGCGGGCAGCCGTTTAAAACAACAACACAGAAATATTACATTTAACGCAAAGATCACAATCAGTTGATGAAACATGACGGTGAATGTGGGGTCACTCTGGAACAGCCAAGACATTCCACAGTGACTCCCATTCACCGTCATATTTGATTAATTGATTGTCATCTTTGCGTTAGAATTAAGATTTGAGTGTTGTTGTTGCCCATCCACCCACCTCGTGTGCCGTGCCCGGCCTTCGTAGGTGCTGCTGCTCGCTAACAGCACTTGCCCCAACAGTTAAGGCTATATGGGGATCTTTGGCTTTGTGTGTGTGTGTCAATGACTTTGTGTGTGTGTCAATAACTTTGTGTGTGTCAATTTGTGTGTGTGTCAATGACTCTGTGTGTGTCAAACTGTATTCATTAAAAATTAACTAAGGTGGGGGGGGGGGGAACGACTAAAGAGACAGCTGTTTGTTCCATCGCCTATTTTATTTAGGTCAGAATGTCGGTCTGCTGTAAACCTGTTGCTGTGTCTCTGCAGGGGTATTGTCTGTTGCTGTGTCTCTGTAGGGGTATTGTCTGTTGCTGTGTCTCTGTAGGGGTATTGTCTGTTGCTGTGTCTCTAGGGGTATTGTCTGCTGTCTCTGTAGGGGTATTGTCTGTTGCTGTGTCTCTGTAGGTGTATTGTCTCTTGCTGTGTCTCTGTAGGGGTATTGCCTGTTGCTGTGTCTCTGTCGGGGTATTGTCTGTTGCTGTGTCTCTGTAGGGGTATTGGCTGTTGCTGTGTCTCTGTAGGGTTATTGTCTGTTGCTCTGTCTCTGTAGGGGTATTGCCTGTTGCTCTGTCTCTAGGGTTATTGCCCGTTGCTGTGTCTCTGTAGGGGTATTGTCTGCTGCTGTGTCTCTGTAGGGGTATTGCCTGTTGCTGTGTCTGTAGGGGTATTGGCTGTTGCTGTGTCTCTGTAGGGGTATTGTCTGTTGCTGCTGTGTCTCTGTAGGGGTATTGTCTGTTGCTGTGTCTCTGTAGGGGTATTGCGTGTTGCTGTGTCTCTGTAGGGGTATTGTCTGTTGCTGTGTCTCTGTCGGGGTATTGCCTGCTGCTGTGTCTCTGTAGGGGTATTGTCTGTTGCTGTGTCTCTGTAGGGGTATTGTCTGCTGCTCTGTCTCTGTAGGGGTATTGTCTGCTGCTGTGTCTCTGTAGTGGTATTGTCTGTTGCTGTGTCTCTGTAGGGGTATTGTCTGTTGCTGTGTCTCTGTAGGGGTATTGTCTGTTGCTGTGTCTCTGTAGGGGTATTGCCTGCTGTTGCTGTGTCTCTGTAGGGGTATTGTCTGTTGCTGTGTCTCTGTAGGGGCATTGTCTGTTGCTCTGTCTCTGTAGGGTTATTGCCTGTTGCTGTGTCTCTGTAGGGGTGTTGTCTGTTGCTCTGTCTCTGTAGGGGTATTGCCTGTTGCTCTGTCTCTGTAGGGTTATTGCCCGTTGCTGTGTCTCTGTAGGGGTATTGTCTGCTGCTGTGTCTCTGTAGGGGTATTGCCTGTTGCTGTGTCTGTAGGGGTATTGTCTGTTGCTCTGTCTCTGTAGGGGTATTGTCTGCTGCTGTGTCTCTGTAGGGGTATTGTCTGTTGCTGTGTCTCTGTAGGGGTATTGCCTGTTGCTGTGTCTCTGTAGGGGTATTGTCTGTTGCTGTGTCTCTGTAGGGGTATTGCCTGTTGCTGTATCTCTGTAGGGGTATTGTCTGCTGCTGTGTCTCTGTAGGGGTATTGCCTGTTGCTGTGTCTGTAGGGGTATTGTCTGTTGCTGTGTCTCTGTAGAGGTATTGCCTGTTGCTGTGTCTCTGTAGGGGTATTGTCTGTTGCTGTGTCTCTGTAGGGGTATTGTCTGTTGCTGTGTCTCTGTAGGGGTATCGCCTGTTGCTGTGTCTCTGTAGGGGTATTGCCTGCTGCTGTGTCTCTGTAGGGGTATTGTCTGTTGCTGTGTCTCTGTAGGGGTATTGTCTGTTGCTGTGTCTCTGTAGGGGTATTGCCTGTTGCTGTGTCTCTGTAGGGGTATTGTCTGTTGCTGTGTCTCTGTAGGGGTATTGTCTGTTGTCTCTGTAGGGGTATTGCCTGTTGCTGTATCTCTGTAGGGGTATTGTCTGCTGCTGTGTCTCTGTAGGGGTATTGCCTGTTGCTGTGTCTGTAGGGGTATTGTCTGTTGCTGTGTCTCTGTAGAGGTATTGCCTGTTGCTGTGTCTCTGTAGGGGTATTGTCTGTTGCTGTGTCTCTGTAGGGGTATTGTCTGTTGCTGTGTCTCTGTAGGGGTATCGCCTGTTGCTGTGTCTCTGTAGGGGTATTGCCTGCTGCTGTGTCTCTGTAGGGGTATTGTCTGTTGCTGTGTCTCTGTAGGGGTATTGTCTGTTGCTGTGTCTCTGTAGGGGTATCGCCTGTTGCTGTGTCTCTGTAGGGGTATCGCCTGTTGCTGCTGTCTCTGTAGGGGTATTGTCTGCTGCTGTGTCTCTGTAGAGGTATTGTCTGTTGCTGTGTCTCTGTAGGGGTATTGTCTGTTGCTGTGTCTCTGTCCGGGGTATTGTCTGTTGCTGTGTCTCTGTAGGGGTATTGCCTGTTGCTGTGTCTCAGTAGGGGTATTGTCTGTTGCTGTGTCTCTAGGGGTATTGTCTGCTGTCTCAGTAGGGGTATTGTCTGTTGCTGTGTCTCTGTAGGGGTATTGCCTGCTGCTGTGTCTCTGTAGGGGTATTGACTGCTACTGTGTCTCTGTAGGGGTATTGCCTGCTACTATGTCTCTGTAGGGGTATTGTCTGTTGCTGTGTCTCTGTAGGGGCATTGCCTGGGTATTGCCTGTTGCTGTGTCTGTAGGGGTATTGTTTGTTGCTGTGTCTCTGTAGGGGTATTGTCTGTTGCTGTGTCTCTGTAGGGGTATTGTCTGTTGCTCTGTCTCTGTAGGCGTATTGCCTGTTGCTGTGTCTCTGTAGGGGTATTGTCTGTTGCTCTGTCTCTGTAGGGGTATTGCCTGTTGCTGTGTCTCTGGAGGGGTATTGCCTGATGCTGTGTCTCTGTAGAGGTATTGCCTGCTGCTGTGTCTCTGTAGGGGTATTGCCTGTTGCTGTGTCTCTGTAGGGGTATTGCCTGCTGCTGTGTCTCTGTAGGGGTATTGCCTGTTGCTGTGTCTCTGTAGGGGTATTGTCTGTTGCTGTGGCTCTGTAGGGGTATTGTCTGTTGCTGTGTCTCTGTAGGGGTATTGCCTGTTGCTGTGTCTCTGTAGGGGTATTGTCTGTTGCTGTGTCTCTGTAGGGGTATTGTCTGTTGCTGTGTCTCTGTAGGGGTATTGTCTGCTGCCGTGTCTCCTCCTCCTCCTTGGTAGAAAGATTGCCGACCACGGGATTAAACCTACACCACCAGGGTCCGTCCCCCCGTCACCTCCCACCTGCTGCTATAAGCGGGTTATCCTTGTCTTGTGCATCGTGCGTGCGGATGTGTGGTGGGGAGCGTTGGCGCAGTACTTGACACGCGACTACACCCTACAAATATGGCAGCCCGGGTTCAACTCCAGCCCATGAAAGTCTCTTCACGACGACGACGAATCTTGTCGCATCTTGACCAACACCATCTCCTCGACCCCCCTCCCCCCCCCCCAGCTGAGACATCATGACCACCCAGCAGCCGCACGCGCACGGTCACGGCCACGGCCACGGCCACCACCACCACCACCACGAGGCCGACAGCTTCCTGCGCCACATGTGCCACCTGGACATCGACTCGGAGCCGCTGGTGGCCCGCAACACCGGCATCGTCTGCACCATCGGTGGGTCCGCACCCCCCCCCTCCTCCCCCACGTCGCTCGACCCGGCCCGGTGCCGCCCGATCGGACCGGCGCCCTCCCGTCCCTCCGCCTGTCGATCGTCCACCCTTGACGGTCGCCGACTCGACCGCTGCGACGCCTCCTCATTGGCACTGCCGTCTGACCCGCCCTGTCCCGGAGCCCCGCCCTGTCCCGGAGCCCCGCCCTGTCTCGGAGCCCCGCCCCTGTCTCGGAGCCCCGCCCTGTCTCGGAGCCCCGCCCTGTATCGGAGCCCCGCCCTGTATCGGAGCCCCGCCCTGTATCGGAGCCCCGCCCTGTCTCGGAGCCCCGCCCTGTCTCGGAGCCCCGCCCTGTCTCGGAGCCCCGCCCTGTCTCGGAGCCCCGCCCTGTCCCGGAGCCCCGCCCTGTCCCAGAGCCCCGCCCTGTCCCAGAGCCCCGCCCTGTCCCGGAGCCCCGCCCTGTCCCAGAGCCCCGCCCTGTCGCGGAGCCCCGCCCTGTCCCGGAGCCCCGCCCTGTCCCGGAGCCCCGCCCTGTCTCGGAGCCCCGCCCTGTCCCGGAACCCCGCCCTGTCCCGGAGCCCCGCCACGGCCTCGCCGCGGCTCCCACCGGACGTAAACGGCGTCTCGTGTGCGGCGGCGCTCTGGCGCGGGGGGCCGTGCATCCAGAACCCCCAACCCCTCCCCCACCCCCACCTCCCCCCCCAACCTCCCCCCGCGAGAACGAACGCAGCGCGCTCGCGAGCCCGTGGGGGCAAGCGACGCTTTGGTCGACGAGTTTCCGTTTATTTCCTTCTTTCTTTCCTCCCGCTAGCAACGCGACTCTGACCACGGGGAGTTACCTCCAACCGACCGACGGAGACTATTTTACCACGACTGGGTGTTTTTTTTATTTTACCACTGAACTGCTGTGTGTAGAGCTCTGTCTGCTGATTTCAGACAAGCTACCTGGCTGTCACAAATCCGAGGTGAAATCATCGTCACGTGGACATTCATAGCGGCAGCGGAACTTTGACCCACGGGAGTCTAAGACTATTTTTTTTTTTATCGTCCCACCATCGTCCGACCATTGTCCCACCACCGTCTCACTAACCCCCGTGCTACCCCCAGGGCCGGCGTCCCGCTCCGTGGAGAAACTCAAGGAGATGATCAAGGGCGGCATGAACATCGCCCGCATGAACTTCTCCCACGGCACCCACGAGGTAACGCCCCCCCCCCCCGCCCCCGCCCGTCTCTCCGTTTTGCCTTCCGCGCCCGGCGATCGTTTGGCTTCGTCTTTACCCCCCCTGCCAGTGTAGGACCGCAGAGCTGGGGCGACCGTCGGGGATCGTGGTGCTCGCACCCCAACCCCCAACAATCTTCCACGGGGTTCAAGCTAAGCCTGGTTCTGCTGATGAGGCACCGCATGTCGAAACCTGACGAGACGCCTAGCGCGGGCGAGATCTGCGCTGCGAAGCTGCGTGGGAGGAGGGGGGGGCGCTTTTAGATCGCCGGCTCCGTACGTGACCCGCAAGTCGATTCGCCTGGACGCCCGTGGGGGGTGGTGGGGGTGGTGGGGGTGGTGGGGGTGGGAAGGGGAGGGGATGGATTTCTTGAACGGGGGTGGGGGGTTGGTTGGGGTTTGGTTTGGCACGGGAGGGGGGTCCAAATGCAGGGTCTGCGTGGCACCGTGCCGCCACCCTTGCGTTGGCACGGGGCCCGCACTCCCCCCGCCCTCCTCCACCCCCACCATCGTCTCCGGCCACCCCTCCCGCTGCATTCCTGCCCGTTTAACGAGGGCGGCGTTGGGTGCCGGTGCAGGCGAGGAGTCCTCGAGCCTCCTGCAGGCTGACGTGGCCACGGTGGGCGGTGCGTGCAAGGCTGCGGCGTGGATACCGTGCAGGAGAACCATTGGATGCTACGCGCGGGGGGGGGGCTACGTCGCGAGCAGAGGAGCCGCCGGTTGGCGGCGGCGGCGGCGGCTCGTCGACTGGGGGGGGGGGGGTGACGGCACAGTGGTCGGCGCCCCGCTACGCCGTGAGAACCGTTGTGCTTCTCCCGGCGTTTTTAGGGCGAACATCGGTGGCGAGGTGACATCTGAATCGGTCCTGGGGGCACCAGCAGTGGATTGATGATGGTTCGTAACGATGGGACGCGCGTTGCTATGGTAGCAAGAATAATCCGTGCCGCGTGGGTGATTGCGGTGATGATCTTCCGTCTCCTTCCATATTCAACTATTTTATTTTATATTACCAGGAAAGGTCCCACTGGGCCATGTGGTTATTTTTTCAGAAGCGACCTGGCTATTGCAAATGATAACCCGACGAAGTGGAGCTCGTCATCATCATCGTCATCATCATCGTCATCATCGTCATCATCGTCGTCATCATTGTGTAGGGAAAACCCGGAGGACACGCAAACTCCAAATGTACAGCAGGCATCCGGGTCGGGATCGACCCCACAACCTCCTCCTGAATACCAGGCGGGGGACCTCCTGAATACCAGGCAGGGGAGATGACATCAATATCAGCTACATCATCTAAACGTGTGATGTCCATTCTAAATATGGAGAGAGAAACGAGAGAACCCGGGAGAAATCCGCACGACCACGTGAAGAGTGAGAGAGAGAGAGAGACACGCCAACTGCAAATACACAGCAGCAGGCGTCCAAGGCGGGGATCGTACCCACGACCTCCTGTAGACCAGGCGAGGTTGTTAACATCTCCTAGCCACCGTGGCCGCCACCAGGTGGGGCCGCGCCGGCGGGACGTTTGTCCGGCACCCCGTCGCGCCGCGTCCGCGTGGCTGTGGGAGGAACCGGAGAGCCCGGAGGGAATCCACGCAGGACCTCTTGACGTCGCCCCTGCCGTGTGCGCGGGGTGGTGCGGAATCGCAGCCCGATTGTGTAAATAGTACAGTTCCAGTAGAGTCGTGGAAGATGCAGTGGGTGACGGTGTGCGGTGATGGCGAGCCACCGCGAGCGGTGGTGGCGAGCCACCGCGAGCGGTGGTGGAGAGCCACCGCGAGCGGTGGTGGAGAGCCACCGCGAGCGGTGGTGGAGAGCCACCGCGAGCGGTGGTGGAGAGCCACCGCGAGCGGTGGTGGAGAGCCACCGCGAGCGGTGGTGGAGAGCCACCGCGAGCGGTGGTGGCGGGCCACCGCGAGCGGTGGTGGAGAGCCACCGCGAGCGGTGGTGGGCGACGGTGATGGAGACTCTGAGCGATGGTGCCGTGCCGCCTGACGTGGGCTGACCTTTCCGATTGCCGAACCCGACCGCACGGAATGGCCGCGCCGTGCCACTCTGTTATTTTCGGCGGCCTTGGGTGAATGGCAAATGGCGCCGTCCGAGGTGACGCGAGGTGCTGACTTGGGGGGAGTGGGAGGGGATGGGAGAGGGGGTGGGGGGGCTGGCCTAGCCCATTGTCGGCGAGCGGTTCACGATGAGCGATCGATCGTTACGCCCGCCGAGACGCGGCTGCCACGGTAGCGGCGTTGTCGTCGTCACGGTGAGCGGCGGTGCCGTAGCAGCGTTGCCGGACTCGCGATCCAGAAGGGTCCCGGTTTGACTCCATCTCCCGGCCAACGTGGCGGCTGACACGATGGGGGGCTAGGTTCCTAAATCCACCCCTGACACCACCCAGCACGGCCACAGCGAGTCCTACTATTGGCAGGTTGTGCGTGTGGTGGGGGGTAAAGTGTGGGTAATTGCCGCCTCCTTTAAAGGTGTTCTGGCCTTGCACCTCCGATTTTTAGCACGGTTGGCTACGTATGGTGCGAAAGAAGTTCTACAAACATACTTACTGTCCATAGACTCGGCACTGCCCATAGACTAAACACTGCCCATAGACTCAGCACTGCCCATAGACTCAACACTGTCCATAGACTCAACACTACCCATAGACTCAACACTGTCCATAGACTCGGCACTGCCCATAGACTCAGCACTGCCCATAGACTCAACACTGTCCATAGACTCAACACTACCCATAGACTCAACACTGTCCATAGACTCGGCACTGCCCATAGACTCAGCACTGCCCATAGACTCAACACTGTCCATAGACTCAACACTACCCATAGACTCAACACTGCCCATAGACTCGGCACTGCCCATAGACTCGGCACTGCCCATAGACTCGGCACTGCCCATAGACTCAACACTACCCATAGACTCAACACTACCCATAGACTCAACACTGCACCATAGACTCAACACTGCACCATAGACTCAACACTGCCCATAGACTCAACACTGCCCATAGACTCAACACTGCACAATAGACTCAACACTGCACCATAGACTCAACACTGCACCATAGACTCAACACTGCCCATAGACTCAACACTACCCATAGACTCAACACTGCACCATAGACTCAACACTGCCCATAGACTCAACACTGCCCATAGACTCAACACTGCACCATAGACTCGGCACTGCACCTGAGATTATCACGGTTGGCTATGCACGGTGTGCGAAGAGCAGTCCGCCGAATGCCGCTAGAGCGGCCTCTAGCGGAGGCTTTACCCCCCTTTTCCCGCCAGCGGTGATGCGAGCCGGCAGTTGCAGGGCTGCTACTCGGCTCAAAGACGCAGAACCAAACAAATTTCAGCCCCAACCGGGGAGCTTCCGCCAACTGCTGCGTCGGCCACGGTGGCTCCCGCTGTGATTTGGACGTTTAAATTGTTCGGACGCCTGAAGGTCATGGGGGGGGGGCGGTGGAGGTGGTGGGGGGAGGAGTGGGGGTGATCCCTGGGGGTAGTGGAGTTGAGGGGGTGGTGTTGTGGTGGTGGTGGTAGTGTGGTGGTGGTGCTAGGGTGGTGGTGGTAGTGAGGTGGTGGAGTGGTGTTGGGTTGGTGGTAGTGTGGTGGTGTTAGGGTGGTGGTGGTAGTGTTGTGGTGTAGTGGCGTTGGGTTGGTGGGGTGGTAGTGTGGTGGTGTGGTAGTGTGGTGGTGTTAGCGTGGTGGTGGTAGTGAGGTGGTGGTGGTAGTGTGGTGGTGGAGTGGTGTTGGATTGGGTGGGTGGTAGTGTGATGGGGTGGTAGTATGGTGGTGGTAGTGAGGTGGTGGTGGTGGTGGTGGTAGTGAGGTGGTGGAGTGGTGTTGGGTTGGTGGGGTGTTAGGGTGGTGGTGGTAGTGAGGTGGTGGTGGTGGAGTGGTGTTTGATTGGGTGGGTGGTAGTGTGGTGGTGGTGGTAGTGAGGTGGTGGTGGTGGTGGTGGAGTGGTGTTGGATTGGGTGGGTGGGTAGGCGGGGGGGAGACCCAGGGGCTCCCGGTTGCCCGGTTTGCCCCGTTGCCCGCCCCGGAATGCAAGGGGCTCGGGTGTCGGGATGCCGATTTTAGCCGCGTTGGCCGCACGTCCGTCGCCCCCCCCCCCTCCCTGCGACCTTCAAGGAGTCTGCTGCTGCTGCTGCAGACTCCTTGAAGGTCGCGGGGAGGTCGCGGGCGGCTCCAGAGAGTCACCGCGGTGACGACGATGACGACGCTCGTACGATCGGCCCCTCCTCCTCCCCCTCCTCCCCCTCCTCCTCCCGCTCCTCGTTGTCACCGCCCCGCGGTTGGAGCGCATTCGCCGCTGTGTTGCAGGGGTTCAAATGCGGCGGCCGCCCCGGTTAATGCCGCCGTTGTGCACGAACCGTCGCAAGTGCCGTCCGCTTAATTTTTTGCGATAAAATGTTTGCTTGTTTTTAAATGTTTAAAAAACAAAAAAGCTCCCGGTGTTGACGTCGTAAGCAAAGAGTCCCGGCCTCTGCGGCCCCCCGGCGCGTGGCGGTGGTGCCGCGTTTGTCACTTTTCCAAATGACGCTGAAAATTCCTCCCTTTCTGGAATCGCACGGCAGCACGACACCACCCCCGCTTGGCCACCATCCCCCAGGGGGTGTGCGAGATGCCCCCCCCCCCCCCCAGGTTAAGGAAAACCACCGCTCTTGACAAATCGTCCCGAGATTCGCCATTGGAACGGAATTGGAGGATTGCTGCTGCCCTGTGCAATCCCAGCCGAGGGTGACGTTTTTCAAATGTGGCCGAGCATTGTAACCGAGACGCGGGCGCACGATGCCCCGCTCTTGCAGAAGATCCGGAATCCGAATCTTCATCTCGGCTGGCAGGAATCCGATGAGCTATGAAGCTCTTTGTTTTTTTTTATTTATTTCCCACCGATGTCCACGGGAATCTTTAACGTCCCCCCCGTGAGCAAAAGCGGTCGGCGCGTAGTAGTCGTGGCAGTCGTAGTAATAGTATTGCAGTTATACGCACCACCACCGTGGTATTAACCAGGGCGGCCGCTGGAATTCGAACCACGAATCTCTACGACCAAGCAGTGGCGTTGTGCTCTGGAGCCGCCCGTGACCTCCGGGTGACCTTGCAGCGAGCAGGGGGAGGGCGGTGGGACAGTCCCCGTGACTGTGGGCGTGTTGCCGGCCTTGCTGGGCGCTACTCCTCCGCGGCACTTTCCGCAACGGTCTGTTGAGGCCACACGGGGGAACTTTGTCTGTGTGTTTGCAGTACCACGCGGAGACGATCAAGAACGTGCGCACGGCCACGGAGAGCTTGGCAAAGGACCCCTACAACTACCTCCCCGTGGGCATCGCGCTCGACACCAAGGGTCCTGAGATCCGCACCGGGCTCATTAAGGGGGTAAGGGCCCCCCTCAATTCTGCACCTCTCCCCGAGGCCCCCCCACCCTGCACCCCCCCTCCATGAGCTCCCCCCCCCCGCCCAGAGGCCCCCCACCCTGCACCACCACTAATGCCGACTCGATTCCTCGCAACTCCTGCTGTTTTATTGCCGGAAAAGGTAACAAAAACAAAAAACCAGACCTCTCATTACTTTTCCATACTTAGACTCCATCGGTGTGTAACGTACGGGGCGGCCGCGTGGCGGGCGAGAGAGCCGACCCCTTTCTGCCTTTTGTCCACGGCGGCGGGCGTGCAGAGCGGCACGGCGGAGGTGGAGCTGAAGAAGGGCGGCACGCTCAAGGTGACGCTGGACGACGCCTTCATGGACAAGTGCGACGAGCACACCCTGTGGGTGGACTACAAGAACCTGCTCAAGGTGATCGAGGTCGGCAACAAGGTGTACGTGGACGACGGCCTCATCTCGCTCTGCGTCAAGGAGAAGGGTGAGCGGGTGGCGGTGGTGTCGCTCGGTCGCTCGCTCGGTCGGTCCGCTGCCGATGCCTGTCGCGTCGCCATCGTCATCACCACCGTCATCGCCACCGTCATCACCACCGTCATTATCACCAACGTCATCACCATCGTCATCACCACCGCCATTATCACCAACGTCATTATCACCAACGTCATCGTCGTCATCACCACCGTCATCACCACCGTCATCACCACCGTCATTATCACCACCGTCATTATCACCACCGTCATTATCACCACCGTCATCACCACCGTCATTATCACCAACGTCATCACCACCGTCATCACCAACGTCATCGCCGTCATCGCCACGGACATCATCACCAACATCGTCATCATCACCACCGTCATCACCACTGTCATCACCACTGTCATCACCACCGTCATTACCGTCATCGTCGTCATCACCACTGTCATCGCCACTGTCATTATCACCAACGTCATCGCCACCGACATCATCACCAACGTCATCGCCACTGTCATTATCGCCACCGTCATCACTACCGTCATTATCACCAACGTCATCGCCGTCATCGCTACCGACATCATCACCAACGTCATCGTCATCGCCACCGTCATCGCCATCGTCATCACCACCGTCATTATCACCACCGTCATTATCACCACCGTCATTATCACCACCGTCATTATCACCGTCATCACCACCGTCATCACCAACGTCATCGCCACCGTCATCGCCACCGTCATCGCCACCGTCATCGCCACCGTCATCGCCACCGTCATCGCCACCGTCATCGCCACCGTCATTATCACCGTCATCACCAACGTCATCGCCAACGTCATCGCCACCGTCATCGCCACCGTCATCGCCACCGTCATCGCCACCGTCATCGCCACCGTCATCGCCACCGTCATCATCACCGTCATCGCCACCGTCATTATCACCGTCGTCGTCGTCATCACCACCCTCGTCATCCTATGTTTTCGCTTAATACACTTTTAGTTAAGTGAGTAAATGATTCTTAAAATGTATTTATATTATTTGTATGCCAAGTGTCTGCTGCTGCTGCTGTGTCCTGCACAGCGCTTTGATATATCCTTGGTGACGAGCTGCTAAATCCAGGTAGTCCTCTACTTACAATTGGAGGTGCGTTACAACGACCCCATCGTAAGTCACAAATATCATAAGTCGAAGATGACCTTAGCCTACCCAGGAGTCTTTAAGAATGGTGATAATTTAGCAAATCACAGCAATTTACAGTACCGTACTGTATAAACTACGTACTGTATGTATTTATTAATTACAATACTGTATTGCAGAGTAAAAAAAAACGTATCGTAACGTATCATATTGTACTGTACTCACCAAGGTTCGTACCTCGTACGCCGCTGCGTTTGCCTGCCGCGCAAAATTTAAAATACTTTACAATTTTGTCGTATCGCCATCGTAAGATCTAAATATCGTAAGTCGGGGACCGTCGTAAGTCGGGGACTATCTGTACATGGAATTATTATTATTATCATCGCCACCATCATCACCACTGTCTTCATCGTCGTGGTCTCTCTCCACTGCTGGATGAAGGCCTACGCAGGCCTTCATCATCATCATGAGTCGTGGTCTATCCACCTGTGGACGAAGGCCTTGCCTACCTAGGCCACCGCCACCATGAGCCACTGCCCGGTGAAAGTTTACCGGCTCTCTCCCCATCTCCGACGTCAACGGCAGCCCGGGTCTCTCGCGCGGCGACACCTCGTCCATCCGGTCTGCGTTCGTTGGGCCGCGCGACGACGTTCGACGTTTCGCGCCACTCCCCCCCCCTCCCCCCAGGGAAGGACTTCATGATCACCGAGGTGGAGAACGGCGGCACGCTGGGCAGCAAGAAGGGCGTGAACCTGCCCGGCGTGGCGGTGGACCTGCCGGCCATCTCGGAGAAGGACATCGGCGACCTGAAGTTCGGCGTGGAGCAGGGCGTGGACATGGTGTTCGCCTCCTTCATCCGCAAGGCGGCCGACGTGCACGCGGTGCGCGCCGTGCTGGGCGACAAGGGCAAGCACATCCTCATCATCAGCAAGATCGAGAACCACGAGGGCGTGCGCAGGTGAGGCCGCGGGGTGGACGGGCGGCGGGGGTGGTGGGGGTGGATGGATGGCAGGGCTGGTGAGCGGGGTGAGCGGGTGACTGTGTGGCGAGCGGGGTGAACGGGTGACAGGATGAGGGGCTGGTGAGCGGGGGTGACGGGCTGGTGAGCGGGGTGAGTGGGTGACTGTGTGGCGAGCGGGGTGAACGGGTGACAGGATGAGGGGGTGGTGAGCGGGGTGACGGGTTGGCGAGCGGGGTGAACGGGTGACAGGATGATGGGCTGGTGAGCGGGGGTGACGGGTTGGCGAGCGGGGTGAACGGGTGACAGGATGAGGGGGTGGTGAGCGGGGTGACGGGTTGGCGAGCGGGCGGTGAGCGGGGTGAATGCGTGAGTGGGGTGGTGAGTGGGTGTGCAGGTTAGGATGCACGGGGGTGGTGAGCTCTAAAGATGGTGATGTGATAAAGATCGTGAGTTGTTGTGCTGAAGCGTGGCCAACGTGTGAGCGCTCGTGCCGATGGAAATGAAAAGGGGAGAGGCGGCGGTTCGAGTTTGTTGTGTCCCACGGGGTGAGAACGCTTCTAAGAGACCGGCGTGGGAGAGTTTCCTTCGCAGGAGTGAGCCGGCTCGTCTCCACAGCGACCAAAGGCCAAACGGATGACGTTCAGAAGCACGGCGACGAAGCGGAATGTTTAAAATCGTCGAGAAAGCGGCCGCACCGTCGAACGAGAAGTGGGGAAAATATTGGATGGAGATAAATCGACGTTAGGAAACGATAATTCCTCTGGGGCGCGTGTCGGCCCGACCGCAACGTGATTGCAACGTGTACGTGTGTGTACATTGAACTTCTTTCGCACCGTACGTAGCCAACCGTACGTAGCCAACCGTACGTAGCCAACCGTACGTAGCTAACCGTGCGTAGCCAACCGTGCTAATCGGAGGTGCGGCGGGCGGGGGGCGGGTGGGGGGCAAGGACAACAAACTAAACGCAACAACGAGCGGCAGTTCTAAAGAAATGAGTTTGTCAATCTGGACGATGATTGCCATCGCTCCCAGTGGTTTCCTGATATGTCGGAAGGAAGAGCGTTCCAGACGGTCACAAAAACGCCCGTGGGTCACGTGGATTTTTCTCCGGGTCCTCCGGTATTTCCGTCGTAATTTTTCGAATCGACGTCACGCGTGCAGAGTATTTGGCCGCTGTAAAATGTCCACGTGACGACGATGACGACGATAACCCCGCTTCGTTTGAGCTATCCTTCGTGATGGTGGCCAGGTCGCTTCTGAAAAAGAACCGTTCAGCTCGGTGGGGGCTTTAACGGGCAAACAAAAAGAGGCTCGCTTCGAGTTTAGTTGGAGTGATGGTGCGTGCATGCGGTGTCGGTGATTCTCTTCGACGAGGTTCGACGAGGTGCTGGAGGCGAGCGACGGCATCATGGTGGCGCGCGGCGACCTGGGCATCGAGATCCCCACGGAGAAGGTCTTCATCGCGCAGAAGATGATGATCGGGCGCTGCAACCGCATCGGCAAACCGATCATCTGTGCCACCCAGGTGCCGCCTCATCCCTCCCCGCCCGCTCACTTGTCCACTCATTCGCTCATTTGCTCGCTCAATTGCTCGTTAACTTGCCCACTCGGTTGCTCGTTTTCTTGCCCCCCCTCCACCCTCCCTATCCAAGTACCCAGCAAATTCGTAACGCATGCGTGCCGTGCTGTCCGTGTGCTTGCCGTGCTGTCCGTGTGCGTGCCGTGCTGTCCGTGTGCGTGCGTAGATGCTGGAGAGCATGATCAAGAAGCCTCGGCCTACGCGCGCGGAGAGCAGCGACGTGGCCAACGCGGTGCTGGACGGCGCCGACTGCATCATGCTGAGCGGGGAGACGGCCAAGGGAGACTACCCCCTGGAGGCCGTGCGCACCCAGCACGCGGTAGGTGGGGCGTGGGTGGAGAGGGGTGGGTGGGGCATGGGTGGGTGTGGGCGGGGTGGGTGGGGCATGGATGGGTGTGGGCGGGTGAGGATGGGCTTGGGTTTGGTGGGTGGGTGTATCACTGGTAGATCGGCAAGCTTGTAAGAGCGAATGTGTGAGCACGCAAGTGGGTGCGTGCGTCTCTGCATGGGGGTGGGTAGGTTGGAGGCCAGTTGTGTGAGTGGTTGAGTAGTGTGGCGGTTGAGTGGGCGAGTGAGTGAAGCGGGGTGACTAAGATGCCACTCGGACATCGGAGCTCGCAGCACACCGATCGCTCGCTCGGACAGCCACACGAGCAACCAAATCATCTCATTGAACCGATTTTCTCCCGGTCGTCTTCCCCCCACGATTAACCCGGCTGCTTCTGTTGTGGCCGGTGGTTGGCGGTGGGTGGTGGTGGTTGGCGGTGGTGGTGGTTGGCGGGCTCCCCTGGGGCAGATTGCCCGCGAGGCGGAGGCCTGCATGTACCACCGCCAGGTGTTTGACGACCTGCGTCACGCCACGCACGCCACTCACGACCCCACCGAGACGGTCGCTATTGGCGCAGTCGAGGCCTCCTTCAAGAGCACCGCTTCGGCCATTGTGGTCCTCACCACCAGCGGAAGGTAGCGCCCCCCCCTCGCCCCCAACGGCGGGGCTGCATGGTGCTGCTGGTGCAGTTGTTTGGGGAGAGGGAGCGGGGGTGGGGGTTGCCGACGATGCACGGGGGGGTGTGTGAGATGCCACGGGGGGGTGTGTTATTTTTGCACGTTGCTTTGCGTCGTTTGTGGCTTGATTTTGTGTTTTTTTTTGTTGGCGCTGCGAGCATGTGCCTGCAGCTGCCTGGAGAGGAAGTGATGTCACCACAAAGTGACTCCACAGGAAGTGACGTCACTCGCTGTGACGTCACTCGCTGTGAAGCGACACGACGTCGCGCGGTCGGACGCGTGCCCGGGATTACGGGCGACAGCGTTTGTTGTTGTTGTTTTTTTTCCTGCGTTAAAACAAATTCAAGTCGTCAACTGAATTCGGACGGGAAAAGAAAAATGTCGCGAGCATCTCCTCTGCCCAAAGGAGTGTGTGGTCCGTTGCTGGCAATTCGACATTGCCATGGAATGTGGCAGTGTTCTCAATATTATACTCACATCAACACCACCACCACCGCTGTCTCCACCCATCCATCACCACCACCACCACGAATATCATTATCATCATCACCACCACCACCACCACCACCACGAATATCACCATAATCATCACCACCACCACCACCACAATCGGCAAACCACCTCCCCCCACCACCGCCGCCTCCTCCCCCCCCAACCCCGCGCCCCCCCCCCCCCCCGCGCGGCCCCCCATAGATTGCGCGGGAGGCGGAGGCGGTGATGTTCCACAGCCAGCTGTTTGAGGAGATCCGCCGCCTGTCGCCGGAGACTCGCGACCCCTCGGAGGCCACGGCCGTGGGCGCCGTCGAGGCCTCCTTCAAGTGCCGCGCCAGTGCCATCGTAGCCATTTCCAATTCGGGAAGGTAAAAGCGATCAAACCTGTTAAACTATCTTTTTATTTTACCGACCCTGAGCGGCTATAATCGATATGTAGCTCTTTTTCACAAGCGACCTGGCTATCACAAATGATGGCTCAGCGAAGTGGCCCGTCGTCATTATCGTGTAGCGGCAGCCAAATGGCTCTAAAACACGTGACGTCGAATCTCAATGCGGAGGGGGTAAAAACGGGAGGGGCCTGGATTAAAATTCCACGCGACCACGGGGAGAGGGAGAGAGACGCAGCAGGCGTTGTCAGGGCCCGGCCCGGCCTCGTCCGGCGGTCTGTGGCTGTCGGGGCGGCAAGCGGGAGGGATCGGACCGTTGCGGAGGTCTGGTGCCGGCGTTTCTGTGCCGAATCTCTGCTAACCGCAGTGCCGAGCGAGGTTTTCGATAATGGTCCCCGGTGCTGGCTGAGAGGCGCTGTCCGGGGACAGTTAAGACGATCAGCTGATCCAGGGGTGGAAGGGTCGTTGCCAGAAACGTCAGCCATTATGTATATAATTATAGGTATATGTATTCCTTATATGGCAGGGCTATTGACGAATGCCGAGGCTTTGTGACCGGCATACGTGGGGAGTGCTTGGATGGTTTACGCACAGCCGCCGCTTATTTCTCACGACGTAGACGCGTAATCGTCGCCTTCCTGCGGTCTTCTCAACTCTGAATTCCTCCCTACACTTCTTCTGCCAACGCATCTTCAGTAATTCTCCATCCTCCATCTTGCGCGTTTTAACGGTGGAATCGGCTCGACAACTCTCAGTACGTACGTACGTCCGTCCGTGTGTGTGTGTGTGTGTCTCGTCTGTGTGTCTCTGTGTGTGTGCACCTGGCCTGGCACAGGCGCCTTGGTGGCGTCGCGGTCACTTAGTGGCAGGTGTTGGTATTGGAGCGGCGGTGCAGCGGTTAGCGCGCTGTGCTTACGGACCTGGCCGCCCGAGTTCAATTCCTGCTCACGGCCACCGACACCATTGACGATTATCTAAACCGCTCGTGGGCCTCCCCTAGGTCCACTCTGCCTCAGTTGAGTACCCGGTGCGGTGTGTCAACATCGCCACTCTGGAAACAGAGATCTTTGTGTAAACATCACCACTGTGGAAACAGACAGGCGGCCGGGCGTGGTTCTGGCCACCCACCCCCCTCAACGTGCCGTGCCGAGCCTTCATAGATGCTGCTCGTGGACAGCACTTGCCCCAACAGTCTGTGAACGCTATACTGGGGATCTTTGTCCTTGGTGTCTCTATCTGCGTGGTGTGTGAGAGACATCGCCTGCATCCCCCTGACTCTCCAGTCGCTCCGCTCTGCCGCTGACCTCGCTGTCGCTTAACTGGCTGCATGCAGCTCGCGGGTGATTGGTCGATAAACCCCCTAACACTTTGCCTGCGTTTTCTGAAAACTCGCAACAGCGTCTCGGATCATCATCACCAGCACCGCCATCATCATCACCAGCACCGCCATCATCATCACCAGCACCGCCATCATCATCACCAGCACCGCTATAATCACCACCATCAGCACCAGCACCGCCATCATCATCAGCACCACGACCATCATCATCACCATCACCTGCACCACCACCATCATCATCACCTGCACCACCATCATCACCTGCACCACCACCACCATCATCACCAGCATCATCACCAGAATCATCACCAGCACCACCATCATCACCAGCACCACCATCATCACCAGCACCACCATCATCACCAGCACCACCATCATCACCAGCACCACCATCATCACCAGCACCACCATCATCACCAGCACCACCATCATCACCAGCACCACCATCATCATCACCAGCACCACCATCATCACCAGCACCACCATCATCATCATCATCACCACCAGCACCACCACCACCAGCACCACCACCATCACCACTAACGCGCCGCTCTGCTAACCCCTCCCGCGTGCAGGTCTGCGTACCTCATCTCTAAGTACCGTCCCCGCTGCCCCATCCTGGCGGTGACGCGCACGCCGCAGACGGCGCGCCAGGCGCACCTCTACCGCGGGGTCTTCCCGCTGCTCTACACCTTCCCTGCCAAGGAGCCCTGGGCCGATGACGTCGACGCCCGCGTCAACTTCGCCATCACCATCGGTACCACGCCACCCTGCTACGCCACCACCACCACCACGCCACCACCACCACGCCACCACCACCACGCCACCACCACCACCACCACACCGCCACCACCACCGCCACCACCACGCCACCACCACCACCATGCTGCCACCACCACGCCACCACCACCACGCCACCACCACCACGCCACCACCACCACCGCCACCACCACGCCGCCGCCACCACCACGCCGCCACCACCACCGCCACCACCACGCCACCACCGCCACCACCACGCCACCACCACGCCACCACCACGCCACCACCCTGCCACGACATCGCACCACCACCCCACACTGCCACCACCACTACCCCCCCTGCCCCCCCTCCCCCCCCCCCCAAAGGAAACGTATAAAACATAAAGTTGATCCCTGTGTGATCCTCGCTCAGTCCCTGGTTGTTTCCCATTTCTTTCCCGATCGATCTCCCGTTGATCCCCCGTTGATCCCCCATTGATCCCCCATTGATCCCCGTTTTTTCGCCCCCCACGCTGCAGGCAAGAACCGCAAGTTCATCCACAAGGGCGGAGTGGTGATCATCGTGACCGGCTGGCGCCCCGGCTCCGGCTTCACCAACACGATGCGCGTCACCGTCGCCGAGTGAGGGCCCCCAGTGCGGTGGGGGGGGGGGGGGGGTCCCGGGGGGCCGCCCCCCACCAACGCTCGCCCCCCACCAACGCTCGCCCCCCACCAACGCTCGCCCCCCCACCAACGCTCGCCCCCCACCAACGCTCGCCCCCCCACCAACGCTCGCCCCCCCACCAACGCTCGCCACGCTCTCCTCCTCCCTCGTAGTCGTCGCCCATCCAATTTTCCCTCCTTTGCAGTCCCCGTGCCCCGGTGCATCGCCTGCGCACGGCCCACGCCACCGCCCGTGTCACCGCCGTCGCCACGGTCACCAGATCTCGGCATCCGGACGGCGGGCGACTGCCAGAATCGAAATAATGAGAGGCCCACGTGGTTGTTAACGAGCAGGCGAAGGGGGCCCGCTGAGCAATGGGAGGGAGTGCGGTTGGGTTGCTTTGCCGTGTGCGCGAGTTGGGGGGGGGGGGGGGTGGCCGGGGGGCCGACCTGGAGATGTGGAACCGCGTGCCCGTCGCGGTGGCTGTGTGTGGTAGTGTGGTAGAGGAGTTGACCGCGTTTCTAACCACGCTTGCACCGAAACGAAAATTATTCAAATGTAACGAAAGAACCTGGGGGGGGGTGGGGGGGACGTCCAATAAAAGGTGTGCAATACAACCCGAAAGCCACCGTGCTTGGTTATTCGCGACGGGGAGACGCCAGGGGTCCGCCACGCTGCGACATCGTTGAGCGGCGACGGCCCGAGGCCTTCATCCAGCGGCCCTCCGGCCGGCCGGCGAACAAAGAACGGGTCGCCGCGTCGCGCGGCCGTCTGGAACGCTCTTCCCTTACCAATTTCTATTGTTAGGAAGCCACTGGAGCGCCGTTCACGTTCGTGCGTTTCTAGATCGTCTAGACACGTTGATTTCAACACGGAAACGAGTCGCCAGGTACGTCGACCATAACCATCAACCACGCCAACTCCGGTCCATCCCCGCATGCGGCTTCTAGCTGGGCTCTCGGACAAAGACGGGCGGTCGTCGCATCGCGCGGCACATTCGGATGCGCTTCTGCGGCCGTCTGGAACGCTCTTGCTTCCGATATTAGGAAGCCACTGGGAGCTGTAGCTTCCTAATATCGTCGTCTTGATTGACAAACTAATTTCTTCAGGACTGCTTTTTGTGTTTAGTTTCTTTCCCCCCCCCCCACCACCGATTGGCACGGTTGGCTACGCACAGTGCAGAAGAAGTTAAACAATACACACTGCCCATGGACTCAACACCGCACCTCCGATTAGCACGGCTGGCTACGTACGGTGCGAACGAAGTTCAACATAAAGGACGTCCCGTCCGGCGATTACTCCGAGCCACTTCTAACTATTTTTATTTCGCCAGGTAAGGCCCACTGAGCTATGTAGCTCTTTTTCCACAGCGACCCGGCCATAGACGATAGCTCAACCAAGTTCGGCTTATGAGGTGGAAATGTGTAGCAGCAGCCAACTACTCTAAACGAGTGGCGTTGATTCTACACGTGGAGGGGAATCAACACGAGGACCCGGTTGAACAATCCGAGCGACCACGGAGAGAGGGAGACACGCAAACTCCAAATATACAGCAGCTGTCATGGTCGGGATCGAACCCACAACCTCCTGCATACCAGGCGAGGTAGTTGACGTCTGAACCTGCCCCGACCCGCGGGGGGAAGGCAGCCAGCAGCCACGCGGAGAGGACCCAGGGCTACCAACAATTCGCCCAAGTTCTGCAGTTCTCTATGCAGGGTTGGGGTTCGTGCAGGTGTGAACGGGTGTTTACACGTGTGGGAGGCTCCCGACGCGTGCGAGGGGGCAACGCTCGATCCCGTACTGACGGAACAGGAAGAGTCGGGGGGGGGGGGGGGGGGGGGTACGGCTGCACCTCGCGACGCCCACGGGAAGCGAGATGAAACAGATGTAGATTAGTCCACACTTTGCTATACCGCCGGGGAGTTTGGCACCATCTGTGCGTGACCCACCAACCCTCGCTGTTGCCTCCACGATGCTGGATGACAGGCAGCCACGGGCAGCGTATCCATCACCACCACCATCGCTGCTTGGCTAAACACCGCTGTGAACAGACACGGACAAAGATGCCCCGTACAGCCTCAGACTGTAGGGGCAAGTGCTGTTAGCGAGCAGCACCTATGAAGGCCGGCACGGCACACGAGGGGGTGGGTGGCCAACACCACGCCCGACCGCCTTTGTCTCCCCAGTGGCGATGTTACTGACACACCGCCACCAGGTACTCATTTGAGGCCGAGTCGACCTGTGAATAGAATTCACAAATCTTGACTTGAAGCTTTCGTGACTGCAGGAATTCATATTCTTTGGGTCTTTCGGTAAAGTCACGAAGATATAACAATAAAATAATAAAAAATAAAAATAAAGTGAAGCACCTGATGACGATTGCTTGTGTTGCGATCGAAACGTCGCGATATTATATTCACTTTTTTTTATCTACGTGACTTTACCAAAATACCGAAAGACTAGAATACACACACACACATGAACGTCCGTGGAACGTCCACAAGGTGGCGAGGTTAAGTTACGTAATAAACTAAATTTTAGTGATGCTGCTGCTGCACCATTGCCTGTGATGGTGCACAGACAACTAATTTCTTAAGAACTGCGCTTCGTCTTTAGTTTGATTACTCGGCTGTCCTTCCCCCCGCACCTCCAATTAGCACTGTTGGATACGTACGGTGCGAAAGAACTTCAACATGCAACAAGTCAACAGCTTTGTCAACATGAGGAGGGAGGATAAGCCATCGCGTGAACTCCCGTTGTGATCCTCGCAGCGGCTTCTCGCTGGCCATCGAACAAAGACGGTGGTGGTCACTGCGTCGTCCGGCGCTTTCAGATGCGCTTCTGCGGCCGTCTGGAACGCTCTTCCCTTCCAATATTGAGAAGCTGCCGGAGCTATGCACTTTAAAATCATCGTCGTCTACATTGAAAAATGATTTTCTGCTTTGGGGCCGTCCATAAATGACGTCACGCGATTTTTGACCCCCCCCCCTCGTCACACGCCGTCACAAAAATTCAGACCCCCCCCCCCCTCAAATATGACGTCACAAAGCTCTGCCCCGCCCAAAATAAAACATGCTTCAAATCGCTTTAAACTATTGTCATTGTAGTGCGTATTTAATGTGGCGCTCCACTCTGTTGTTGTAGGAGAAAACATTTATTCAAAGGCGTTGGAAAGCTGAAATTTTGCATAAAATTCACTTGAAAATATTCAACGTCGAACTAAAACTGCAGATGTTAAGAAAATTATATTGAAATTCTCTTATAATTATAAAATATTTAAAGTAATTATAACTATAAAAAATACATGAAGCTGTGTAGTAGAAGGAAGAACAATGGAGAGTACAATTATAACAATCATATATTCTGATTTAAAGCTTTCGTGACTGCAGTAATTCATATTCTTAGTTTTTTCGGTAAAGTCACGTTGAAGAGAAACAACAAAATAACAAAATATATAAAACAATAAAAAAATTCTCACGACGTTTCGACCGTGACTTTACCGAAAAAACTAAGAATAATCATATATTCATTCCACAGAATAAAAAGCCCTGGTCGAATCATGAGCATCAAAATGTTTAATAACGATAATTTAAAAAGATGTTCAAAATGTACGCTTCTACATTCTCCCATGGAGAAGCAAAATGCTCCTTCATGGAATAAATAAAAGGTGACAGTTAATATAAATAATCAAATAGTAAATAATGAAAATTAATCAAAATTAGTGTTATAACAATTCTATATTTAAAGTTGCACATTTTGATGTGACGTCACATTTCTCAAACCCCCCCGCCCTCGTCACAAATGTCTGACCACCCCCCTCGCCCCCCCCCCCCCGGGGCGTGACGTCATTTATGGACGGCCCCTTTGTGTGGTGAGTTTGTCCTTCCCCTATTAGTGCGCTTTGGCGACATACGGTGCGAAAGAAGTTCAACATACACACATAAACACCGTGTGTGTGCATAGAATAGACGACGTTTTGGGCAATGTCCCTTTGTCAGCCATTTGTGCTATGAAGAAGCACCAGTTGTATAGCCACATTAATACATTGATACCCATAGAGATATATACCCATAGAGATACATAGTGACCCATAGAGATACATAGTGACCCATAGAGATAGTGACCCATAGAGATAGATAGTGACCCATAGAGATACATAGTGACCAATAGAGATAGATACCCATAGAGATAGATAGATACCTATAGAGATGCATAGATACCCATAGAGATAGTGACCCATAGAGATACATAGTGATCCATAGTGATACATAGTGACCCATAGAGATACATAGATACCCAGATAGATACCCAGAGAGATATATACCCATAGAGATACATAGTGACCCATAGAGATACATAGATACCCATAGAGATAGTGAGCCATAGAGATAGATAGTGATCCATAGAGATACATAGTGACCCATAGAGATAGATAGTGACCCATAGAGATACATAATGACCCATTGAGATATATACCCAGAGATACATAGATACCCATAGAGATACATAGTGACCCATAGAGATACATAGTGACCCATAGAGATAGATAGTGACCCATAGAGATAGTGACCCATAGAGATACATAATGACCCATAGAGACACATAGATACCCATAGCGATAGTGACCCATAGAGATACATAGTGACCCATAGAGATGCATAGTGACCAATAGAGATATATAGTGACCCATAGAGATAGATAGTGACCCATAGAGATACATAGTGACCCATAGAGATACATTGTGACCCACAGAGACACATAGTGACCCATAGAGATATATAGATACCCATAGAGATACATAGATACCCATAGAGATACATAGATACCCATAGAGATATATAGTGACCCATAGAGATAGATAGTGACCCATAGAGATGCATAGTGACCCATAGAGACATAGATACCCATAGAGATATATAGAGATACATAGTGACCCATAGAGACAAATATAGATACCCATTGAGATACATAGTGACCCATAGAGATAAATACATAGTGACCCATAGAGATATATAGTGACCCATAGAGATACATAGTGACCCATAGAGACACATAGTGACCCATAGAGATAGATAGTGACCCATAGAGATAGATAGTGACCCATAGAGATAGATAGTGACCCATAGAGATACATAGTGACCCATAGAGATACATAGTTCCATAGAGATAGATAGTGAGCCATAGAGACACATAGTGACCCATAGAGATAGTGACCCATAGAGATAGTGAGCCATAGAGATACATAGTGACCCATAGAGATACAGTCACCCATAGAGATACATAGTGACCCATAGAGATACATAGTCACCCATAGAGATACATAGTGACCCATAGAGATAGATAATGACCCCTAGAGATAGATAACGACCCATAGAGATACATAGTGACCCATAGAGACAGATACCCATAGAGATACATAATGACCCATAGAGATACATAGTGACCCATAGAGATACATAGTGACCCATAGAGACGCATAGTGACCCATAGAGACGCATACATCGACACCCATAGAGATACATTGTGACCCATAGAGATACATAGTGACCCATAGAGATAGATAATGACCCCTAGAGATAGATAACGACCCATAGAGATACATAGTGACCCATAGAGACAGATACCCATAGAGATACATAATGACCCATAGAGATACATAGTGACCCATAGAGATACATAGATACCCATAGAGAGAGATAGTGAGCCGTAGAGATACATAGTGACCCATAGAGATAGTGACGCATAGTGATAGACAGTGACCCATAGAGATACATAGTGACCCATAGAGACGCATACATCGATACCCATAGAGATACATTGTGACCCATAGAGATACATAGATACCCATAGAGATAGATAGTGACCCATAGATAGATAGTGGCCCATAGAGATACATAGTGACCCATAGAGATACATAGATATCCATAGAGATAGCTAGTGACCCATAGAGATACACAGTGACCCATAGAGATAGTGACCCATAGAGATACATAGTGACCCATAGAGATAGTGACCCATAGAGATAGATAGTGATCCATAGAGATATATAGTGACCCATAGAGATACATAGTGACCCATAGAGATAGTGACCCATAGAGATACAGTGACCCATAGAGATACATAGTGACCCATAGAGATACATAGTTACCCATAGAGATAGTGACCCATAGAGATACATAGTGACCCATAGAGATACATAGATACCCATAGAGATAGATAGTGACCCATAGAGATACATAATGACCCATTGAGATATATACCCAGAGATACATAGATACCCATAGAGATACATAGTGACCCATAGAGATACATAGTGACCCATAGAGATAGTGAGCCATAGAGATACATAGTGACCCATAGAGATACATAGTCACCCATAGAGATACATAGTGACCCATAGAGATACAGTCACCCATAGAGATACATAGTGACCCATAGAGATATATACCCATAGAGATACATAGTGACCCATAGAGACGCATAGTGACCCATAGAGACGCATACATCGATACCCATAGAGATACATTGTGACCCATAGAGATACATAGTGACCCATAGAGATAGATAATGACCCCTAGAGATAGATAACGACCCATAGAGATACATAGTGACCCATAGAGACAGATACCCATAGAGATACATAATGACCCATAGAGATACATAGTGACCCATAGAGAGAGATAGTGAGCCGTAGAGATACATAGTGACCCATAGAGATAGTGACGCATAGTGATAGACAGTGACCCATAGAGATACATAGTGACCCATAGAGACGCATACATCGATACCCATAGAGATACATTGTGACCCATAGAGATACATAGATACCCATAGAGATAGATAGTGACCCATAGATAGATAGTGGCCCATAGAGATACATAGTGACCCATAGAGATACATAGATATCCATAGAGATAGCTAGTGACCCATAGAGATACATAGTGACCCATAGAGATAGTGACCCATAGAGATACATAGTGACCCATAGAGATAGTGACCCATAGAGATAGATAGTGATCCATAGAGATATATAGTGACCCATAGAGATACATAGTGACCCATAGAGATAGTGACCCATAGAGATACAGTGACCCATAGAGATACATAGTGACCCATAGAGATACATAGTGACCCATAGAGATAGTGACCCATAGAGATACATAGTGACCCATAGAGATACATAGATACCCATAGAGATAGATAGTGACCCATAGAGATACATAATGACCCATTGAGATATATACCCAGAGATACATAGATACCCATAGAGATACATAGTGACCCATAGAGATACATAGTGACCCATAGAGATAGATAGTGACCCATAGAGATAGTGACCCATAGAGATACATAGTGACCCATAGAGACACATAGATACCCATAGAGATAGTGACCCATAGAGATACATAGTGGCCCATAGAGATGCATAGTGACCCATAGAGATATATAGTGACCTATAGAGATAGATAGTGACCCATAGAGATACATAGTGACCGATAGAGATACATTGTGACCCATAGAGACACATAGTGACCCATAGAGATATATAGATACCCATAGAGATAGATAGATACCCATAGAGATACACAGATACCCATAGAGATATATAGTGACCCATAGAGATAGATAGTGACCCATAGAGATACATAGTGACCCATAGAGACATAGATACCCATAGAGATATATAGTGACCCATAGAGATACATAGTGACCCATAGAGACAAACATAGATACCCACTGAGATACATATTGACCCATAGAGATAAATACATAGTGACCCATAGAGATATATAGTGACCCATAGAGATACATAGTGACCCATAGAGACACATAGTGACCCATAGAGATGCATGAATAGATACCCATAGAGACACAGAGTGACCCATAGAGATAAATACGTAGTGACCCATAGAGACACATAGGACCCATAGAGATAGATAGTGACCCATAGAGATAGATAGTGAGCCATAGAGATACATAGTGACCCATAGAGACACATAGTGACCCATAGAGATACATAGTGACCCATAGAGATACATAGTGACTCATAGAGATAGTGACCCATAGAGATAGTGACCCATAGAGATACATAGTGACCCATAGAGATACATAGTGACCCATAGAGATACATAGTGACCCATAGAGATATAAAGTGACCCATAGAGATAGTGACCCATAGAGATACAGTGACCCATAGAGATACATAGTGACCCATAGAGATACATAGTGACCCATAGAGACAGATACCCATAGAGATACATAGTGACCCATAGAGATACATAGTGACCCATAGAGATACATAGTGACCCATAGAGATGCATAGTGACCCATAGAGACAGATACCCATAGAGATACATAGTGACCCATAGAGACAAACATACATCAATAAATGTGTCGTTAAAGCCGCCAACATTTACAATTATAAATATTGTGGCCTTGCTCTCCAACACACCGGTGTTGCTGTACTAGTTCCGAGTTGGCAACGTTCTGTTGACGTGACAAACCTTACGAATTGTCTGCGTCGGGTGGTGGCGGGTTTAACGACACAACATTTATATATTTACGCGATCTCACCCCCCAACAAAGCCCTCTTTTGTGGTTGATGTTGATCGCTAAAGGCTCCTTGAGTGCGTTGGTGCACGGTGCTTTTTCAGGAATATTTTGCTGTTTTTCCCATGGATTTTCTGTTTGCACAGTCACACATTGTCACTTTAAGATGTTTTTCTTGTTCGTGTTTTAGTTTTTTTGTTTGTTGTGGTTGCACCCGATTCAAGAGCCGAATGGCTCACAGGGCTATACCAAAAATAAATAAACTGAAAACTGCCTTGCATTGCTCTACCGCATTTGGTAGATGTCTTCCAAACCAAAATATCGTAGACTCACCTTCCAGAAGCAGAAGCCATGACTCATCTTCTACCGTGTTCGGAAGATATCTTCCGAACTTCCAAATAAAATTCAGATATATCTTCTAGAAGAAAATCAAACATGGCTCATCATCTACCGTGCTCGGCAGAGGTATTCCTAACTACAAAAAAACTTAGATACATCTTCCGGAAGATATAAGCGATGACGGTAGAAGTACCGTGCTCGGAAGATTTAGTCAAACTTCTGAATAAAACGCAGATACATCTTCCAGAAGACATCGATGACTCATTATTTATACCGTAATCGGAAGATTCCTTTCGAACATCTAAAAAAATGCTTTAGTTACAAATGTACAAAAATATTCTGATTAGCTGGAGACGGCTGAAAGAAAATTCTTTGTTACTTTTTAGTGCACTTTAAAATAAAACCGTTGTCTTTTAGAAATACATTTTTAAGGAGTTTATTTTCTATTTTTTTGTCTTTATTTTAATAAAGAATTTATTACAAGGAATATTTTTTTATACTTTTTTAAAAATACTTATAGAATAATTAAAAAAAACACAGATATATCTTCCAGAAGACGGAAGCGATGACTTCATCGTCTACCGTGCTCTGAAGATTTCTTCTGAACCTATAAACAAAAACAGGCAGCCTCAATCTCCGGTGGGCGGTAGCGAATGAGGCGTTGATGTAATTTAACATAATTTATGCGGATCACGTGACACCGCGCGGACCAATGGGGTGCGAGAAGGAGCCGCTTTAATCTGCACTTCGCCCTTGAAGGCGGTGTAGGCGGTGATTCTCGGGGCGTCTCTCGGCGGCCGCGCTCTCTCGCCTCGACGATGGCGTTCCCCCTCGTCGCGCTCGTCGTCGCCCTGGCAGCGTTGTCGTCCTCCTCCATGGCGGCTCAGCCCGGTAAGAGGGGAGGGAGGTAAGGGGAGGGCGACGGAGGGCAGATGTCACAGCCGGGGCGCTGTTACATTTGGTAGCGCGGATAAGCGACCCCAGCGGTCTTCGTCGCGCCCCGTTGGTCGGTCGCGCGTCACGTGAGGCGTTCTCGGCCAATGGCGTTCGGTGTTGGACTCTCCGTCGTTTATTCGTGCTGAGAATTGTAAACCCGCGGCGCATTTGCCCGATAATTATTTTAACTGAGGCGTTTTTATTCCTTCAATTTTTTTTTTAAAATGTTTTTAGATTTAAAAAAAAACTCGTGAAAAAGATAACAGTAGCGACGGCGTGGTCTGGTTACGCTGTTGGTGAGATTGGCGGCTTGTCATCTTGAGCGCGAGAGAGGAAAAAATGTAAATGTTGCGAGCGATCAGGCGATGCGCCCTGCATGCTTAACGATGTCACCGCCGAGGAGTGCAAGCCGCCAACCTTGCTCAATCCACTGCTGCATGGAGGCTTCTCTCCTGAAAGCCTCCGCACCTCCACGTACCCGACACACCACGCTCCACGATATTGACAATCCTCCCCAGCGCCGTTTCGCGCAAGATCTCATTTCCACGCTCAAGCCGCGTGTTCCGTATATTGCGGTTTTTCTGGGCGTCTTGTATGTGATAAGTGTGTGTGTGTACACAAGTGTGTGTGTGTGTGTCTGTGTGTACACAAGTGTGTGTGTGTGTTTGTGTGTACACAAGTGTGTGTGTGTCTGTGTGTACACAAGTGTGTGTGTGTGTCTGTGTGTACACAAGTGTGTGTGTGTGTCTGTGTGTACACAAGTGTGTGTGTGTCTGTGTGTACACAAGTGTGTGTGTGTCTGTGTGTACACAAGTGTGTGTGTGTCTGTGTGTACACAAGTGTGTGTGTGTGTCTGTGTGTACACAAGTGTGTGTGTGTGTCTGTGTGTACACAAGTGTGTGTGTGTCTGTGTGTACACAAGTGTGTGTGTGTCTGTGTGTACACAAGTGTGTGTGTGTCTGTGTGTACACAAGTGTGTGTGTGTCTGTGTGTACACAAGTGTGTGTGTCTGTGTGTACACAAGTGTGTGTGTGTCTGTGTGTACACAAGTGTGTGTGTGTCTGTGTGTACACAAGTGTGTTAGTGTCTGTGTGTACACAAGTACACGTGTGTGTGTGTCTGTGCGTTCACAAGTACACGTGTGTGTGTCTGTGCGTTCACAAGTACACGTGTGTGTGTGTGTGTCTGTGCGTTCACAAGTACACGTGTGTGTGTGTGTGTCTGTGCGTTCACAAGTACACGTGTGTGTGTCTGTGCGTTCACAAGTACACGTGTGTGTGTGTCTGTGCGTACACAAGTACACGTGTGTGTGTGTGTGTGTCTGTGCGTACACAAGTACACGTGTGTGTGTGTGTGTCTGTGCGTACACAAGTACACGTGTGTGTGTGTGTCTGTGCGTACACAAGTACACGTGTGTGTGTGTGTGTCTGTGCGTACACAAGTACACGTGTGTGTGTGTCTGTGCGTACACAAGTACACGTTTGTGTGTGTGTCTGTGCGTACACAAGTACACGTGTGTGTGTGTGTGTCTGTGCGTACACAAGTACACGTGTGTGTGTGTCTGTGCGTACACAAGTACACGTGTGTGTGTGTGTCTGTGCGTACACAAGTACACGTGTGTGTGTCTGTGCGTACACAAGTACACGTGTGTGTGTCTGTGCGTACACAAGTACACGTGTGTGTGTCTGTGCGTACACAAGTACACGTGTGTGTGTCTGTGCGTACACAAGTACACGTGTGTGTGTGTCTGTGCGTACACAAGTACACGTGTGTGTGTCTGTGCGTACACAAGTACACGTGTGTGTGTCTGTGCGTGCACAAGTGTCTGTGTGTCTGTGCGTGCGTGTCTGTGCGTGCACAAGTGTGTGTGTGTGTCTGTGCGTGCACAAGTGTCTGTGTGTGTGTCTGTGCGTGCACAAGTGTCTGTGTGTGTGTCTGTGCGTGCACAAGTGTCTGTGTGTGTGTCTGTGCGTGCGCGCGTGCGCGCGCTGGTGTGTGTAGTGGGGAGCGGTGGGGTAGTGGTTAGCGCGCTGCGCAACAAACCCGGCTAACCGAGTTCGATTCCCGCTCATGGCCAACACCATTGACGATTATCTGAACCGGTCCTGAGCCTCCTCTTGGTCGACTCCGCCTCAAAAGAGTACCTGGTTCGATGTCTGAACATCGCCGTTAGGGAGACAAAGTCGGTCGGACGTGGTGCTGGCCACCCACCCCTCTCGTGTGCCGTACCGGCCTTCATAGGTGCTCGCTAACAGCACTTGCCCCTACAGTCTGTTAAGGCTATACGGGGGACATTTTTTTGGTGGGTGAAAGATTTTTAGCTCATCGGATTCCTCCAGTATACATAAATACGAGTCTGATATTTTCCTGCTCTGCATTTAGAATCAACATCACGCGTTTTTAGAGTATTTGCCTGCTGCTATACGATGATGATGATGAGCCCACTTCGTTGAGCTGTCGTTTGTGATGGCCAGATCGCTTCTAAAAAAGAGCTAAATAGCAGCTCCGTGGAGCCTTACCTGGTCGCATTAAAATAGTTTAGTCAGAATCAACGTGCGTTCATATTAATTGGCTGCTATAAATTCCCACACTGTGATGATGATGATAAGCCCACTTCGTTGAGCTATCATTTGTGAAGACCAGGTCGCTTCTGAATAAGAGTTATGTATAGCTCAGTGGGACCCTTACCTGGTATGAAATAAAAATGTAAAATGTTTAGTTTAGGAGGGGATCCATCGCTTTGGCAGTTCGCTCCGTTGCTATTCTCGACCATCGCCGGTCCATCATCGTCCCCTCTGGTCGTGTGAAGGATGCCTCGTCATGCCCAAGGCACCGACTGATATTTCTTAATAATCCGAATGTTGTCGGTAACATTACCGTGTGTTTCTCTAATTGGTGTTGGTCCTCCCAGTGACGTTCTAAGCACGTGTGTGTGTCTCACTTTTTCTATCAGTTTTACGGAGCACCGTGAAGTAATTAAGATTCTATGTACGTGCGTGTTGAAATTCTTTCGCACCGTACGTAGCCAACCGTGCTCATCGAAGTTGTGGGAGGTAGATTACCGCTCGCGGCCCGACATCAGTGACCGATTGTCGTCCGATGTGTGTGCGTATTTACGTCTTCTCACAATAGCTTAACGGTGAATTATTATCGGTGTGAATCCACAAAGACAAAGATCCCCCCCGCATAGCCTGAACAGATTGTTGGGGCAAGTGCTGTTACTAAGCAGCAGCTATCAAGGCCGGCACGGCACACGAGGGGGGAGGGTGGCCAACACAACTCCTGGCCGCCTTTGTCTCCCCCAGCGGTGATGTTTATTACACGCCACACAGGTGTGAATCCACACACACAACATTAAAACGTGCTGTTTTGCCATTTCGATCGGTTCAAATTAGTACCACGTTGTGAAAAATGTAACATCGCGGCTGCCAATGCACTGACTGACCCCCACCCCCGTCATAGAAAAGGAATATCTTAGGCATGTAAAAAATAGGTGCCCCCCCCCCCCCCACGTTCATATGATGTGGAAGCAACTTTAACCTTAGGTTGGGTGCCTCTTGCTACATTTACTCTGCGTCTGTGTCTCTCTGCATTTCTCTTCACATCTCACCATGAGTGTCTCGGTGTCTGTCTCTCTTCGTCTCTCTGTCCCTCGGCCGTGGAATTTTTTTCATTGACAGCCAGAGACTGAACTCTGTTTGCTCGATGTCGAGTGACTGTTTTTTGTTTTGTAATTTTGAGCCGCGTTTGCGCGTTCTGAGACCGCGATGAAGGAAGCGATTGGCCACTGCAACGCTAACCAGAGACCAAAGACAAGGATCCCCCGTATAGCCCTAATAGGCTGGAGGGGCAAGTGCTGTTAACGAGCAGAACCTATGAAGGCCGGCACGGCACACGAGGGGGTGAGTGGCTACCACCACGCCTGACCGCCTTCGTCTTCCGAGTTCCGATGTTTACACACCACACCACGTACTCATTTTTGAGACTGAGTTGGCCGAGAGGAGTCCCAGGACCAGTTCAGATAATCGTCACTGGTGGTGTTGGCCGTGAGCGGGAATTGAACTCGGGGTCGCTGGGTTCGTAGCGCAGTGCGCTAACCTCTAGACTTACCGCTCCCCACTGACCAGAGACCACCATTCTGTCTATCAACAACACATCACGTCTCATTCACCTCGACGAACCCTCTCGTGGTGGTGATGTGGGTAGTGCCTTTAATCCAGTGGCAGCAGATCTATTCCAGTGACTCTGGTCCTCACAGTGGAATGCAGCGCTTTCCCACGTGCTCTGTTTGCGAGAGTGAGGTTAATCCCAAGACCCTCAAAATAATACTCGGTTCTTAGACCTGCAATTAGAGCTAAATTAGGCGCGGGACCAAATTTTTCGAGATGTTTTAAGCAGAATCTGATCGGTGTGTCTCCCCTTGACTATATCGAAGCAGTGCGAGTGTCGTCGGTGTAGAGTGCAACGTCAACAAAATTGGCAACAGCGTTTCAATAAAATCACGTGAGTTATGGGCGTGAGCAAGTGTTTGCCGGTGTGGGGAGCACCCTTTATAGCTGCTACTTGCTAACAGCACTTGCCCCAACAGTCTGTTGAGGCTATATAGGTAGAAATTAGCACGCTGTGCTACGAACCTGACGACCCAAGTTCCATTCCCACTCACGGTCGTCACCAGTGACGATTATCTGAAACGGGCCTGGGCCTCCCCTAAGTCGACTCGGCCTCAAAATGTGTACGTAATGCGGTGTGTAAACATTGCCACTGCGGAGACAAAGACGGCCGTGCGTGGTACTGGCTACCCCACCCCTCCTCGTGTGCCATGCCGGCCTTCATAGGTGCTCTCTAACAGAACTTGTCCCATCATTCTGTGAAGTCTACACGGTTGGGGGGGGGGTTCTTTGTGTGTGCATCTTTATAAAGTATCTTCACATCGGCCTTCGCCGCCTGTAACAGGA